TTTGTGTATGTTTTATAATGTACATAATATATTAGTACAGTAGTACATGTATATAATTTATAAATAAATAAATATACATATACTGGGGGTGCATGCTCAAAAAATTTTTACTGATAGGGGTGCGTGATCAAAAAAGTTTGGAGACCACTGGTCTAAAGAGCTGAAGTCGATGGGAATCCTACCTCAGGGGAGGCCAAATTACGACACAGATGCTATAAGTGGCATGGGCAGCCTGTGTGTGAGACATGCAGCAGATCAGGAAAGGGGCAAGGAGCAAAGCAGCAGATAAGGCAGGAAGCAGAAAGCAGAGCAGCAGATCAGGCAGAGGAAAGGGATCAGAGTTGCACTCAGGGAGGATACAGGGCATATTTGTGGCATGCCTGCCAAAAAGTTTGCCCCCTCCTTGCTGACCTGATCTAGGATAGCAGGATTTGGTCCACACCTGAAGGGTGGGATGGGAAGATATTGATTGGTGGGTGAAGTAAAATGGAAGGAAGAGATTCAAAGAAAAAGCAACCTAGTAACATATTCACCCCACGGCACAGGTGGTTCACTTCTTGTGAGCACAGTGTTAAGTCAACAGCAAAACTCAAGGTTCTGCACTTCAAAAGTATGCTCCGTGTGAGACCAGGGGAAAAGTCCGTCATCTGCCCTAGGATGGAGTCTGCACAACCGGTATTCGGTTTCTGTGTGCTCCTTCCTCAGCAGCTCAGACAGGCTGCGGGGGCTGTGCTTGTACAAGAGGTCTGGGTCTGTACTTTCCCACCCTCTTAGCTAGTACCAGGAGGCAGATTCAGTTTAATACCTCTCACCGCTCCCACGGAAAATTTCTCCCAGAGCAAATGAAATCCCTTCTCCCTCTACCCCGCTCCCAGTCTAGATGGAGATGATTACGGCTTGCTATGCTGCTCTGCGCCGTGCTCTAGGCGTTCTGCCTGACTAAAGCTGTGGATGAAACTGAAGATCTGAACCTAATTACAACTGTTAAAAAAATCTATCAGCTCTTCTCTTCCCTGCCTTTTTTTTTCTGCTCTCGGTGCTCTCTCCCTGCACCGCCTGCCCCACCCCCACACTCAAGAGTCAGCTCATTAAGTAAAAAGTGCATCCCTTAGTTCAGGGTGGCTCACAAGGTGTTTCGTTGGGCCAAATGCATAACTGGTGTGCACCAACTGGATTCAATGGTGTTACAGCAGGATGAGGTTGGCATGTTGTCTCTGACCTTCTCGGTGCAACATGCCATGTACTCAGCCACTCCTGGGACTGGGTCAGAGCCCCCTCGGCGTACAAATCCTAATGAAAGCCTAGATTCAAACTCATTTGCGCGCTGTACGCAAAAGAAAGAAATTAACATTTAATAACGGCAGAAATCCTCCGGTCTCCGTGTCACCCCCTGCCCAAAGCCTCTGCCCCCAAAATGTTCCTGTCGGGCCTGGCCCCCCGGAGACCACCTCGTCAGGGACGTGCCCTGGCAGCTTGCGGTAGCCATTGAGGAAGAGGGTAAAAACAAGCCCACTGACCTTTCTTTGCCCACCGGACCTTTTCTCCGCTGGAGTGCACGTAATTTTCAAATTCCGTCTGCAAGACCGTTGCCCGCTCCCGCACTTCCTGGGGGTTTGTGCCACGGGATTTCTGGGAGGGCGGTGGGAGGATTAGAGGAAAGACAGAACTTGAGGCAGGAATAATGAAGCAGTTTAGAATAGATTTAATAACAGTAAAATCACACAGTAACCACCCAGGGGCCAACAAGGGTAATCCTCTCAATATTACTAGGGAGAAAAAAAAAATGTATAGATAAAGATGTTAAAGTCAAAGCAACCAGCGAGCGCTGCTTTGTGAGGGGAACAAATCCGTTTTAATTTTGTGTTTTCTAACACCTATCACGTATTATTTTCCTCCCCCATCTCCTGGTAGCAACCGCTCTGCATTCATGGGGTCAAATTCTAGGTCTGAAGTTTCACCAGAATCAGTGTGGAATAACTCCAGGGTTACTGCCAGCTGACTTCGCTGGGCCCAGTTTTCTCTTGAGAGTTTAAGAAAGGTAGTATTTTAATTTGTATTTATTTATTTAGCTTTAATATTTTTACGTTCAATCTGAGCAAGCTTAGTCCTACCTGGGAAACATACTGTTCCCCACTAGCTTATTCTTTCCCTCTCCGTATGAAATTCCTTGCTCTTGCTGATCTTCCTCTGCTTACACATGGTTCTTAATCCTCATTCATTTCTGGAGACCCTCCGTCCAAGCTGCTCTCACCTACTTTTCTCTTCCTCTGCCACTTTCTCAGCGCTTTGGGACGATTGCCTCCTTCCAGCATCATAGGTGCCTCCCCCTTCTCCCAAACCTTCCCTCCTTCCTAAAGGCTACTTGTGCAACAAGTCTGGGCGCTTCCCCACACAGGACCTGCCATCCCACCTGCTGAACCTCAGTCTGATGTAATGCTTTTTGCATTCTTTCTGTTCTTGCAACAGGGAGATAACGCTTGTGCGTACCTCTCCAAACTGCAAACCAGAAAAGACCAAATTCCCTGCAGGAAACGTGAGATGCGAAGCTGATTTAAAAACGGAGTCACTGATGTTCACAGGTGGGATGTGTGCTGCTCACCGTGAACAATTACTACTGCAAAAAAAATAATCTCCTGGGGTACTAACAGAGGAAGCCAAGTTCTGCAGATCTTCCAGGGGGTGAGCTTTGTGCTGAGTATTCATAATGCCCAAGAAAGGGATTGTGTGTGCGCTCAGTCCCTCTCAGGATCAGGCCATAAGACAGAAGCTTAAGGGAAGGGAAAGCAAAGAGATGTTCTGGGGGAAGGAAAAAGAAGCAATCCCTGGAAGTGGATAGGGGAAGATGGAGAGAGTGGGGTTATCCTGGCTGGCAGAAAAGCATGATAGCAGCATTTAGGTACCTGGCTAAGACCCCTGGTTGTCTATATTTCCCTTCCGTGGCATTCAGTCCTCAGTGGCTGCTCTGGGAGCTTGAACACAAAACTAATCCATGAGACCGATCGCATGATTTTATCACAGACTGTGACACCTTCCCCTCAACTACGCATCTCAACAAGAGGGGAAGGTTCCCATCGCTCCACTCTGGGCCCACGCCACAGCAGCATCCTCCAGCCAAGAGGAAGAAACCAGAGATTCACTTGTGAGCTGGATTCGCCACTGCCTTGACTATACAAAGCGCTCTTCCTGCCAGAAATGCAAGCAGCACCTCCGCACTGTGCTGAGCGCCATTCCACGTTTAAACTGAATCCTCACACTAGGCAAAGGCAGGGATTAAGAAGCGCTGGCCTGATCCAAGCACAAAGGGCCCAAAGCCTTTGCTGGCCTAACTCCATCAACTTCATTGGTTTGCATGTTGGTAGGACATTTCACCAAAGACAAGTCCTTGGGGCTGTCTGGTGCTGCTCCTGATTTACACCGACATAACAAAACACCACATTTGGACCAGTTGAAGCACTGCACAATTTTTCTATCTGCGGCTTTGGCGCTGCACCTTGAACATGGTCAGATTATTGTTGCTATTCAAGTCCCCGCTTCCTGTTACAGCAGCTTTGTGAAGTGCACGTGAACAGGTACTAAAATTCATATTCACTCGCTATCCAGCTTGGACAAGAACGAGCCTTCTCTCCCTTTTAAGATGCACTTAGTCCCCCTCTCTACCACCTGTTCTCTCTGGGCACAAAATGGGGCACACTTTATTTATGTGCGTTGCCTTAGTCGGGTGCCCTTCTCACCTGCTCAGCCAGTCAATCAGACAAGCGGAGGGTCCACCAAGGGCTTTGCACGCTAGAAGTGGAGTCGCCTCCCCAAACCGGACATTTGTCGCCGGCGTTAACAAGTTTCTGCTGCTGTGAAACATAAAACTTCCTCCCCCCCCTCAACCCCCGCTTCCCTTTCGTTAAGCCTCCCCGACAGCACCGAGTGTCACCTTCCCAGGGTTTTTTAATATGAATGTAAAATTAGCGAGATTGCCCTTTCCCCTGGCGGACAGAATCCTCTGTTATTAAAAAGTAAAGCACTTTAATAATGAAAACTTTTTCTCTTTTTCCTGTGTTTTAACTGTTTAAAATTAATGAGAAGGGCATAACGGTTGTCAAAGCGATATTGAAAGCCGGGTAGCCAGGACCGAATAAGCACGAAAATCCCTCCAGAGTGTTAAATAAACAGTGCTTCAGCCCTCTCCGAATCCCTCTGTTGGTTATTGTATACATTCTGTAACAGCACTCAGAATAGATCTGAGCGCTGGGGAGGCAGAAAGGTTTCAGAATTCCAATAAAGGCCTCAAATTAAAGACAGCCTGGTGCGAATTCCTGGAGAAAATTAAAGAGACCTCAAGCTTAAGTGACAGGTGACTTGCTTCTGTGTCACAACTGTCAGGGGATTTAGTGATAATATGGCAATATATTACAAAGGACTTTTCTTATTCCCCCCTTTAGGTTTCAAAATGAGGTATCTCTTCTTCCTAGTGCGGGGGGGGAGGAGAAAGAAAGACTAAAATAAGGGATAAAAAAAACCCAAAAAAACTAGGTGCATAATTTCCAAAGCGCAAGGTCAGTTCGAGAAAAATAAAATGCGGAAAAATAAATAAAGCGAACGGCAGAAAACATAATGTGCTTAGAAAACAGTGTTTCCCCTTCTCTCGCCCCCACCCGGCCTTTTATCCCCTCCATCCCCTTGAGAAAGATTTCATTTTCAAATTGCCCCCTAATGGGCAGGGGGAAAAAAAGCTGGTTTTGATTCCTGCCTTCCAGGGAGGTTGGTCTGAACTAAATAAATTCTAAATTTAAAAACTGACTCAGACTTGGAGCCAAGCTGTGCAAAGAAAAACCACCGCGCGCCGCACACTGCACTGCCTCCATCTCTGGACGGAATAATAAAAGCGATTTTACTGGCTGTCGAGTGCAAGTGGTCCTGCATATTTTACTCACACGAGTAAGCCCTAGCCCTGCAAGTAGTCAATGGGAAGACTCACTTGGATGCCCTTACACTAGACACTAAGGCCTAAAAGATAAAGGATTGTGCTCATGGTTTGCTAGATTCCTTCCCTTTCTTGATGCATTTACAGTCTCAGTTAATCCAACTAACTAATGAGAGTTTCTAATACCCTATTTTTGAACAGTGCCTTGCAGAATGAGGTCCCAAATTTGGCTGGTCTCTACACACTGGCATAATTAACCCAATGGATATTACTGCAACCCAAAGGAGACATGTACAGTGTTGTGATGTTTTAAAAACCATTTCAAGCCATTATGAGGAAAAAAAAAAAAACATGCAAGGAAAAGAAAGACTCGACAATCTGGTTCTTAAGACGGAAACTTAATGGCCATTAAAATTGGGGCGTCTTGGCATCAGGGAGGCTAACTCTCCACTTTCGTTATGAGCACGGTGAAATGAGCCACTTATTGCGTGGTAAGCTAGCACGCAAACTTGTGCAAGTACTTCAACCCTATGGTGTGTGCCGGGTAGCTTTAAAAAGTGACCCCTTTTATATAGCAAAATCCAGGACACAAGCCTGGATCCTCAGCTGAGCACTTCTGGTTCAGGTCCGTGTAACTGCCTTCGTTTTGTGCTGCAGGCCAGCTAATCAGCGGTGCTGAGAGGTTACTTCCTGAACCAGAAGCCGTATACTCGTTTTACGGATGGTGCTGTGGCTGGGGGGGCAATTAGCATTTCCTCTCTGCAGACACTGCATGAAGCCAGAGGCGGTCAGCCAACTGTGGACTGATTTTCCCAATTCCAGACAAAAGTCCTCTTGCGCTGGGACCCAACCCCAAAATTCAGGATGAGCGGTTGCTTTAGAGAACTTGCTCTTCAATGAAAATATAGCAGAGTAGCTAACACATTGCAAGTTTACAAGCTAACTTATCTCCTGTAATGTGCCATGCCTACAAGAGGATTAATGGGAGAAGGAATATAGAAATACAATAAAACCAGAGCAGGTGGGAATGTTCTTAGGGTTAAGGAAAGAAAAAAAAGAAAAAGAAAAGAAAAAGGCCATAATGTCTACTGCTACCATGGTACTTTAAAACAAAATGAAGGATTTTGTTTTAATAACTTTTTTTTTCCAACCCCCACACACAGTCCCTAGAACCCAACAAGTTTTTTTCCCCCCCTCAGTAAAAGTTGAAAGATCAAATTTATTCTCTTTGTAGGCAGGTGAACACTCACACACCCAGACGGAGCCACATATATATTTTATACGTCTAAATATAAAATATACATTTTACAGGCGCTTCAGCTTGCTCCCTGGCTGCGCACAGAAGCCCAAAAAAAGTGTGTTCCAAGGGGGTACTTATAATGGACTTCAGTCAAGGCAGTGAGAAACAAAGAGCATTATAATGAGGTGGCTGTGTGCTCGAGTATAATATATACATGACACCAGGCATGGAGACCTGATCAGGTAAAGATAACTCTGTAATTCGCAAGCGGCAAAGCCATAGTTGAGTTAGTTTCGGTCTTTTGTAACAAGCGGAAATTAAAACTTCCAACCACGGCCGGCTCCACGCGCGGTCGAGCACATCCATATCTTGGTCCCCGGATCTTTGAAAAATGACTTATAGACTTCAGTAGAGAATAACCTTCCTGGGTTTTTTAAACACTATATAGAGTTGAAGAGAGAATTAGGACCCAGCTATAGATCTCTATACACTGCCGTAAAAAAAAAAAAATCTAGAAAATGACTGGAGCCTTTACTACCCTTTCGAGATGTTTAAGAGTAATTCCTGTGAAACCCTACATATAATATCCACAGAACTACAGTGATTTCATCCCTATTACACTTGAAAGGATTTTCCCACTACCAAATATTCCCTCTCTTGGTCCTAGTCCTTTAGACCAGCGTCAGGCAAAACCTTCAGTTTCTGCTGGTATAAAATCCTGCAGCACGTTTAAAAATACATTTTATAGCTCCGCTGAAAACGAGCATTAAACTACCGTTCAGAGGGGCTGTATTTCAATTAGGACACAACTACTTAAAACTTATAATATGCTTCACATTTTGAAAGCCTTTTATAAATATTAATTCATCAATCTTTGTAACCAGCCTTGCTGGTTTGGCATTAGCATTATTCTACAGATAGGCACAGTGAACCCCAAAGAGGCTAAAACTGATGTTATTTCGAGAGGCCGCTGATTTCTTATTCAGATGCACCATGGGCATTACAAGGGGTGAGTACCCAAAACCTTTTGGACACTTTCCAACAGCTGCTGTTGAAAAACCAAATCAATACCTGTCAAAGAAACATTTTCCTTTCCCCGTCCCCTCCTCCCTAAGTTCCATGCATCTTGGGTCTAGCACGAGTTACGTTCAGTCCTGTATCAGCGTCAAATTTAAAGTAAAGACATTTTTTGAGGGCTAGAAATGGAATTTTATAATCATTTTAATGAGGAGATTCTCAATCTCTACATGGGACCCACAGAGCCTGCTTCCAAGGGCACAGCAGTGACAGTTTGTGCACAGAAAAGCAATTTTAAGTGACTTTTAGAGTAACACAGCAATTCTAAACTCCCACTGCCAAACATTTTATACTAACCTCCACACATGTCCACATGCTTATTAAACTACATATTTTCTGGACTACTTTATAAACCAGGATTTAGCCATAATAAGGATTTGTGAAGGGCTGGGAAAATCTGGGTGCAAATAGTTGTTTCCTCAGGTAAGCTTAATATCTGTAAAAATGCAGGGCACGCTGGAAGTATGAATATTCTTCCAGAGCATGTTTTTTATTGAAAACAAGCCACAGTGCCTAACAGAACCATCTGCCGGGAAACTGGAAGACAGTGGACAAGCTGAAGACTGTTGCGTGGAATAACTGAATAAGCGAACTGGCAAAATAATAAGCGAGTGGAAAAATAAACCTGGGTAATGCTTGACATTTGCTCAAGTTTTCTTTAAGATTGAGGCTCTTACAGAATGCAATCTGTGCCGGTGGCAGAAAGAACCAGTGCAAATGCCTGAATTTTATGAATTAGCAACTAAAATACTGACCCAAACCCAAAGCTAGACTCAATAAAATGTCTCCTACCAGCTCCATCGAGGTTTCAATCAGGCCTCTCCAAAACAAAATATAATAATATTAAAGCCTGGATAACAGCACACAGTGTCCTTTGTTCATTTGCTTGAACAACTGTTGTGTCACTTTTAATGTCTCCTAATATTTCACAATACAGCAAACGGACCACAAACAGCATGTCATGCCAACTGCAGCCTTTGCAATAAGAGCCTTTGCAAGAACACAGCCTGCTTTGAAACTTTTGCTGATAAGCTAAGAGTCTAAGCTAAGACTGCCATTATGGGGCAAAAGTTTAAGGGGGCACAAATGGGGCAAGTGAATAATATGAAGGTTTGCATTACCTTACAATATGGCTTTATACACCCTTTTCTTTGAGTGAGACAGCATATTTAGTTAGCGAATGAAACCAAAGCAATTCCAAACCACCAAAATAACTCACTTTGTTTCCCCATTGGCGCCCCTTGAAACGATCATCCTTCATTAAGTTGGCCAAAATGTCCTCCATCTTCATTTCTGAGACCCTGAAACAGCACGAAAGAAGAGAAAAATGGTCATTTCTCCAGGGCAACATGAACCTTTCTGCACAGAAATGGTTTCTCTTCCATCCCATGGGAGTCAGACCCAACCAGTGATGCCCAAGAGGGGTGGAGTGGCAGAGGGGATGAAGACCTACAAGTTCAGCCTGACCATAATGTCCTGTACATTTATCCAGCATCTTATCCATGAATTTGGCTTCAGTCACCCTGAAAATCTGGCAATCACTACAGAAGCTGCACATACATATACAGGCTTGAAAGGGTCACAAGTTTTCCTCCTACTTCTTGTTTCGTCTAGTTTCAGTAGAGTAGTGCTTCAGAAACAAGAACTCAGGCAAGTATTGTTATACTTTGAGGACTCAGACACGAAAGCTCTTCTCTCCTGTTAAGGACCGTCTCCCGCCCACATCAACCAAAGATTTTTATTTCGATAACTTCTTCTTGTCTCGGTGGGATCAGGTTCACTCAGTTGTGATATCAAGAGAGATCTAATTCTCCGGTCCTCAAAAAGCAACCAGCACCTGATACTACTAATGTAACAAACATGCAAGGAAGAAACCTCTTTAACCATGAGCTCCATCTTTATGCACCACAAAACAGTGACAAACAAAATGCAAACTGGTAGAAACTCAATTTATCGTTTCTTTTGCTGGTCACCTTTTTAAGTTTTCCTGTATATCGGGCAGTTGTCATCACTGTGCTGCAGAGTACAGAGAGTTTAAGTGATTTATTCAGAGCCACAACCTGCAGTCAGGACTTTTAACCTCTACAGCTGTGCTTGAACCACAAAACCATCTTTTTTTTTTTTTACTAGAAACATGGGGCTGATGAGGCTGGAAGTTAGGGAGAGGATTTTGGAACAAGGGTGGCATAAAAGTCTAGAAAGCTGGGATTTTCATATTTCATTTGTCCAGAGTTAGTCTCTAAATAAAAAAAAAAAATGCCAAACCCATTTGGCAGTTCAGCTATAACCATTCACTACAGGTCAGATCTTAGCCTTGTTGAAGCTAATGGGAGTTCTGCCACTGACTTCAACAGAACCAGCATCGGGTCACGTGGGCAGTCCCTACATTATGAAAGTCCAACCAAAATTCGGAGTAAATCGTAAAGAGAAAATACATTTTTCTCTGGTATGGTATGTGCTTCCTTTAACCCTGCTCCCTGCCACCAGCCTCTGAGCCCTCATTTTAAAAAGCAACATTAGAAATACGAACAAGAGAATTTTTTGGCCAAATGCTTAGGGGCTTTAAATGTCACGAGTGAAACTCCTCCTTCCAGACCCATCAGGTGATTCCCAGATCAGCAGGGCATGGACACACCGCTGAGGCAGCTCGAACAGCTCTTGGGTAGGGAGTGAGCAGTCTCTGTGTCACTTGGTGGTGGCTCTCTTCTAGCAATCAAAAATCTACTACAGTGAGGCTCCTCTCATTCAGAAATACAGTGGTTAAAAACCTAGGACCTAGGGTGGAAACGCTGGAGTCTCCTGGACCACTCCCCACACCACCACCCCCTGAAAGCAAACCGTGCAGAGCACTTCACGGCATTGTTCTCCTGACAAGTACCCCCCGCTTGCCCACCGCATCCTGCGGTCATCCCGACCGAATGCAACGTTGCCTGGGTCAGGGCTTGGCCTATTGAGTTAGCTTGCTCTCCAGCTCGCTCAGGTCTACAACGGACATTTTCCTGCCAGCCTTTAGATTGCTTTGCATTCCTTTCTTTTATATTTTCCTTCCCAGGATCACAACTCAAGAAGAGAGAATCCAACATCTCTCCTCCAAGAAGTGTAAAGCCACCTGTGATCATCAAGGGCCCTATGGCAGTTTTTTAAACCACAGGACTCAATCAGGTGTGGCAGCCAAATGCCACACTTGGCATTTAGTCTCCGTCTGTCTACCTACAGTTTTTTCCTGCATGTTCAATCAGGTGATCAATCTTCCACTCCCAGCTGTAAGACACTTGTCCATTGCCCTGATTCTGCAAATTCAGCACATCTTTAAAAATTTAAGCATGTGAACAGTTCCACTGATTTCAGTGGGCCTACTCTCGTGATAAGCTAAACTCATGCCTACCTATTTGAAGGTTTGGGCCCTGGGTTTCCACATGGCTATGTTTCACAAATGGGCGAGTTTATCTCTCTACAGAAGAAACTAAACTTCTCCCCTTTCTGTATTGGCGTAAACCCAAATGAGGCGTACCAAAGTCAACGTTGGTCTTTTACACTTGCATCTGTTTGAAAGGGAACCAAGTTTGGCTCGACATGGTTTAGAACCTTAATGAGTGAATAGAAACGAGTGGGATAAAAAAAAAGGAGGATTAACACTTTGCACTTTGTTGCCTCAACTAACAGGAATTGATCAACCTTTGCAATACCGTATGAGACACCAAGAGACGAGCAGAGAGAGTAAAGCAACTTTTGTAAGGACACACAGGGGATCAGTGGCAGAAGCTGGGAAAGAAGTGAAGGCTAAACACTGTCAACTCCATGATCGCATCTCTACATCACACAGCTGGAGATGAGCATGGCACAAGCATGGCACACAGGAAAGCTTCCCTCTACAGTGCTAACAAGCCTTGACCAGTCCTACCCAGTTCAAGGAAACAGGGCAAATGCAATTTCTTCAGTACCTGGCCTCCAAGCCTCCGTGACAGAAACATTGCGATCATGCCAGAGAGAAAGGGAACGAGCTAGTCCAGAGAAGCAACAGTTTAGCCCAAAGGGTTACAGGCCGTGATTGTGCACGGCCGCGTCCCAGCCTATGTGGGAAGCTGTCTTGATGTAGCTGGGGAATCTCAAAGAGAGAGGATTCCTTCGTGGAGAACACAGAGGTGGAGGAAGGAGGGGGGAGAGACACGGGAGGAAGGGAAATGGAGCATAAAAAGACAACTGAGGGTTCTTCTGTTTGTTTTTGAAAAGTATAACAGTAAATTAAAACATAAATGGCAACCACTTAAGCAAGAGAAAGGCATTTCTCCCCATACCCCCAAAGGTTGCTTTGACACAGCTATGAATGAAAATGTCAAGCCTTTTGACATTGATGTGTCTGAGATGTGTCATCCCCTTCTCCCTTTCTCGTCTCTCCTGGCATGCTGCCAGCTTGCTGCCTTACAGATATGTGAACTCGGTTCACAGCAGGGAGCACAGTGTGCGCGGGGTGGGGGTGCATTCGGGCGGGGGAACGACTCGTGCCTTCACGGTGATGCGCTTTCCTGTATAAATTAGTTAGGCCGCCGTTAGGAGATAAAGAAATTATCTGATGGCTGTCGAGGCAGGCGCTGCTAGATTGCACATGAAGGAACTAAGAGAGACGTAAGCACAAGGAGGAAATACCCAACTCTCGGCAGCGTTTTTCCTGCTTCTTGTTTCCTTCCTTTGAAGGAAAATACGTTAGTTATACGCAGTGCTGAGGCGCAACATTTTGGAGGGTAACCTTAAAAAAAAAAAAAAGAGGAAAATTCATCTAAGTCAGTACATGTGCACTCGTGACAAGGGAAGGGAAACGTAACATCAAATTACACAATGCTACAAAATAAGAGTTATTGAGGCAGTCGTGCAACAGTCCTAAGCTCCAGTGGGCATTGCTTTTCTCACCAGAGCCACAGCGAGAGGGTTTTGGCAAAAGTAAATCCTACAGAAGCCAAGTACAGGCTTCAGATATGTGTGGAAATTAATTGTGAGTGATTTCCAATTTCCAAGGCAGTTACCCATTATCCTGAAGTAGATGCCCATCCTGGAAGAAGCCCGTGCCTGGCCCCATTGCTTGGGTATCAACAGTGTTTGACCTACTCCTTTATATCCTCCAGTAGGGATAAAATTCTGGGCCAGATCCTTTTCTGATAGAAGTCAGCCCAACACTGCCAATCTACACCAGCGGAGGGTGACAGGCATCTGTCGGGAGAATCAGCTGCTTAGAAAAAAACCCCAACTTTTTACAGAGGATTCACATTTCAACAACCCCGTCAGGAGCTCATTATGAACACTGATTTTAAATGAAGCAAGGGGAAAAAAATAATAATACAAAGCCAAACCATTTACACAGCCTGAATGGAAAGATGAAAAGAAGATTGAGCCCAGATAAACGTGAGCGATCAGTGTCCGAGTGGAGATGGCGGCAGGCTGGCACAGGCTGTCTTTTGCCCTCAATGCTAAATTGAATTGTCAGCTTTCTCACCATCATGCTCTGTTTGTGAAGGGTGGGGGCAACTTGTGCTGATGGCACTTGCTGCCCTGAGCTTCAAGCTGCCTTCATGAATCATCTCTGTAATTCATCAGCACAGTTCAGTATCCTATTGCCCCTTTAAACGTGTGTGCACGTGCACACTTGAACTACTTGATTTGGAAGAGCATGGGATATACTACACACAGGCCAAACCACCCTCCTGTGCTAATTAGACAAGCATTTCTTCTGATCTGATAACTGTAGGTGAATTGCACTCCCTTATCCAGAAGTCCCTGATCCCATAGGTGGTATACTTTATTAAGGAAATTAAAGCAAAAAACCAACTCCCAAACAAGCAAACAAAATAAGCCCTAGCTAGGCAGGCACTCCTCTGTGGACTTCAGCTGCACTGATTTCAGAAGGCAGGAATAGATTCACATCCATCCCTTCCAGGTGAGCAATGGAAAGCATCAGTCTAAGGATGCCCAAACAGATGCCTCTCTCAACAACAGGTCTCCGTAAGTGCTATAATTGCCAGGTTGAGCAGGAGACACTACTCCCTTAAACTTGCTAGAAAAACAAAAACAAATGAAACTTTCCGAATTAAAAATTCAGAGCAAAATATGGGCAAACGCAAACCATTTTGCCCTCCCCCACCCAAAAATCATCATTAAAAAAAATAAAAAATAAAATACAACTTTCCAGTTGGAGTTAAAAATTCACAATTATGTGGGATTTCACCTTTAAATGTCAGTGCTGTTTGTTACATGAAAAAAAACCCTGTCAGCTTAGCCCTCCTTGTCTTGCTGGTGTCTGCTTAATAGATAGTTACCTGGGATGATGGATGGCTCTTTGTTAGACCACTAAGTGGCTCACAGCCGAGAATAAGCCCGTATTTACTGCCAGCGTTTGTTTATTTCAAGAATGCAAAACCAAATTTGATGTTGAGCTGCCCCACCCCACATGAACACGTAAAATAGAAGCCAGATAATTTGTGCGTCGGCGTTTACAGGGCTCCATCAAAACTGGCGCTGCACCGAAGTGATTTAACTTGGCTGTTGTTCTGAAATGCCAAGAGACGGGGATGCGGGGAGCCGAGGAAGGCAAGCAAGTCCAGCAGACTGGTGAAGAGCTCTGGGATCTGGTGGCAGTAATTAGTAACGGGCAGCGTAGGGAGGTTCCTCCTCCAGGATGGACGGTACTGGCTAAAGACTGACTTTTTTACCCTGGAATTACAGGAACTGTCAGGCTGACCTGGAGGCAGAACTCTCTCTCCCCAAGGCAGCTGGGAACAGCGCAAGCTTCCCTGCACTGAACCCAAAGGCAGCCAGACCCACCCTGGAAGGCACTCCTTAAGGCTCGTTTGTTTTTGGTTGTACTCAGGAGGCAGCTAAGAAAGGCAGTGCCCCAGAGGTGGTTTTTATGAGAGGGGCACTTGTTAGCTCTGGATTGATGCTCAAGACCTCACTTCATGGAGGCCGTCACTGTACCTATATATCAGCTCTCCGTTTCCTTATTTAGCTGGTCTTGCCTTCTTCACCCCTACTTCCTCGTTCTCTGGTGAGCCAAAGCTGGCAGATACCAGGAGCCTCCTGACCTGTCTTGGCCAACACATCTTGGTCTTAGCCAGCCTGCACTGCTCATGTCTTCCTAACCCAGAGGCCATATCAAGTTCTACCAATGCATTCGAAATATACCTTGGAATAGCTGTCTCCATTCCATTTATACAGCATGGTTTGGCCAACAACCTGTCAGTTGTGACCCATAACTCTGCAGCAGTTCCACTCCTGGCTCTCTCGTGGAGAGAAAGTACCAACCCTGACAACATGATGTGGACAAGTGTCCAACAGGCTGGGCTCCCTTGAATGTGAACTCCGTGTAGGCAAGACTGAAACCCAGAGCCCTCGAGGTAACAGTGGGGTGCAACAAATCACTGAGCGTCTCCCCTCCTTCCTAAAACCACACACGCATTCACTCGTGCAATAAATTTGTCATGCTTGATTACATTACAGGTTTCAGTTCCCTCCTTCTGCTATGCTGGGGCTAGTCCAGGATCACAAGAATTAATAACTCTTATTAAAACATGTACAAGACACGGTCCCTCTGAAAGTGCCATGGAAGGTTAATTAGCTAGGAGGAGATGGAACTTTTGTTCGGGTCTCTGACTCACTTAATCTTGTGAGAAGCCAGCGAGTTGACATATTCTGCCTCCGAAGGAATCAGGATGAGCAGGCTGTTCCCGTGACAGCCAATCCGAGCCGTCCTTCCGATCCGGTGGACGTATTCCGCAGGTGAAACCGGAGCGTTGTACTTCAAAAGGGGAATACAAAGAGAAAGGAGAAATTAAACAAAATGCAGCGGACCTGATTGCAAACATGCCGCTTTGTCCGTTTGCCTAAAAAGGGAGCTAAATAAAAACTGGGTCTCTTGCCTACCTTAGAGAGGGGCTGTTTATAAAGAGCCCATCGGACTCATCTCTGGAACCATCACTCAGCCCCATCAGCCATAGCAGGTTTTTGACATGTGAATGTGACACATTGGCCAAGTTTCAGATAATAGGACAGTTTCCCCATCTCGGTGTCTCTCTTCACTTTTTTACATTTTATTTCTACACAGGCTCGTCAGGAACCTGTTTGCCTCCTTTTTTTTTTTTTTTAAAACAGGAATGCCCACACAGAGCGACAAGCTGCCTGCTGTGCATCTGGGGGGAAAGGGGAACGATTCAAATTTACAGTCGGGCTAAACCACTGGGTTGATTAAAGCAAATCGCTGATGGTTACTCGGCAGAAAAGGACCAGGGGCAATACGCAGGTGCAAGTCCCGCACGCTGCGTGCAGTGAAAGAAGAAGGTGATGTCTCCAGACCCACTGTCTTGCCATTTGTACCCATCAGGCTCTCACAGAATTTTGATTAAGCCGCTGCTAACGCGCCAATGCCTCTCATTGACTTCCGTGGGAATTAAAGCTGCTCAGCAGAGCTTGCAGGATCCTATAAAGTGGGACATGATTTTTTTTCCTCCTCCTGGAAAAGCGAACGCGTGTGCACACACACACACATACACATGCTACTTAGAAATAAGCCCTCAGCAGTTTAACTGGGAAAAAAAAAACCAACAACCAAAGCCCACTCTAGTGTTTATACCTGTGCCCTCTGGCAAATTTTCTACTAGCTAGAGGTGTGAGTAAGATGCTGTGAGCAATCTAATTGCTCCCTGCAGGTCAGTGCTCTTGGACACAGTTCTCAGGACAGCTGAGCTTTCACCTTCTGGACAAGCAGCAGTCTCCCAGGGCCTCAGATAATTTGCACCGTGTTGAGTATAGCAAGTGCAACTGGGCCCAAGAATGAAAGACTCTGCTCCCCCAGTCCAGTCCGAGCAGCTAATTTCTGAAAAAAACTGATTATTTTTTAGCCAAAATTATAATCCTACTTGTTCCCTAAAGGGATGTGCTGGGAACTGAAAGGCTGCTTTGTCAAGGTTGAGCAGCCCATTCTGCTTACCAAACGGTCACTTAATGGGTGAAAACTTTCGGTTCAACGTCATTCCCTGTATTTTGCAAACCCAACTTGTAAACTTAACTCTTTTTTTTTTGTTAAAGTTAAAGGACAGCTGAAGTTTCACACACATCCTCTCCCTTGGCACCTGAAATTAAAGCCTGACATTTCATTAAGGCTTGATCCTACTTCCATTGAAAACACAGACAAAATTCATGTTGACACCAATGGTGCAGTAGCAGATCTTCAGAGGAAACCCTAATAAGAACTGCCTAATCCTGAAAGGTGCTGTGTGCTTGCTGCTGCTAGGAGAGTATACAAGGGCTTAAATTAGCAATGTGGCTAGTTTTCAAGATGAAGCCTCTGGAGCTACACAGGGGCTTATAGTAAGGCATCTACTCAGACTCCTCAAGGAATTGTGTCCTCAGTCATGACGGCGGTGGGGAGCTCAGCACTATGTTAAAAATGGCCAGAACCTGGCAGGATCAGGCTCCAATTATTTTCTATTCATGGAATATTATTTATCTGCTATAAAGGCTGGATTAGCAAAAAAGAAAACAGAATGAAACTCATGGAGCTTCTACAACGTAAGATTAACCCCTGAACCCGCTCCGCATAAAAAGACAAAGGGTATTTGAGAATCCTTTGGCATAAAGGAAACAAAAGGAGCTGCTAGCGGAGACTATTTCTCCACTGAGGAGTCATTGGGACTCTGCAATGGACCCTTCCTCACATCTACTCATATTGCAGGATCTGGGCCTGAAAAAACAGAATATCACTAGCAGGCTCCCCCATCTGCAAACGATTTACACACGCAAAACCCCCAGAAACCTACCTGAACAATCCAGGTGACTTGAGGCAGGTCCAACCCACGGGCAGCAACATCCTTTTATAAGAAAAAAGAAAAAAAAAAATCAGCTAGGAGAAAATGTCTTGGGAATAGGTGACATCCTGGGAAATGTGATGTTTTTGCAGGGAGACTTTTGCACCTCTTATATTAGATGGAGATGGATGGGAACTTCATCATCAATATATAGGGGTTTAAATGCAAAAAGGAGTTCGCAAAAACAAATCAATTCCCACAGATGTAACTATATCTGTTTCCATGAAGCCATGCTGATTTACAACCATTGAAGTCACTGGCCCCTTAAATTCTAAGGACCAGATTCTACCACCTGTATGTTGGTAAGACCTTGCTCCTTCGGCCCTGCTACTGAAAGAAATAGCACTGATGTTACAGGCATGTGAATAAGGGTGGCAAGATCCAGTCCTAAGACAACTTTATTGATTAAATTTAAGCCTTTCCTTGCAGTGTTTGCAGTCGCTGCAGCTCGATGCTACCAAATGAGAACTGAACACTAGAGTATGATGCATCTATGTGTCCCTTCCCAGCCAGGCAAAATGCAGAACATAAATAAACAGAACCTGCAGGCAAAAGGGAATTCGATTTTTAAAAAATTAATTCAGGTTTAATGATCTCTAGGGTTAGTACTCTCATCTGTACAAGATATAACATTTTCTGTCTCTCACCATTACTTTATCCACAGATGCTGGTTTTCAAGCATTTAGGAGGCACCTCCTCTCTTATACTGGAAGCCTTGTTTATATCCGAAACAAAACCCCTTTCTATTGATTTCCCTAATAAGCCTAAATATGAATTCCTGGTGGCTCTCTTGCTTCAATAAGGTCAGATCAGATCAACTGCCTCCTTAATAACTTTTATTGGCTCACAACCCGTTTCAGAATCTGGGTCAAAACTCTCCTCTGGACCCTGTAATCTTGCCACCCTTATTTACACATAGCTCCACTGCTTTCCACATCTGCTCGGAGAGGGAGCTTTATGGCCTGCCCTAGCAGGGCCCTTGAAAACAAACGTGCTTTGGTCTACTGGTGATTACCAGGAGATGAGACATGAGGCTCCTACTCAAATACTTTGGGCCCAGATTAAGAGGTCACAGGGCAAGACAGCCATCTAAACGAGGCAACCTCATTCATTCCCCAGCCTCTGATGCATTTGGTGTTCCTGATGGATCTAAGTCAAGATCACTTGGTTCTCAGATAAAAATAGAGCAACTCAATAGAGAGAAAAACTTCCAGGGAGTCTGACAGAGGCTGACTTATCCCTTGTATTTATCCTGGACTGGTTCTGAAGTGAAGACATGAACCTCAGCCCTGCAGAGAAGTGTTGGGGCTGTTATCTGGTGCATTTGCTACTGGGCTGGCCCAGTGACTTACAAAGGAAGCATTTCTTCTGAGTGAGATGTACACCTTGCCAGGGTCGTTTGACCCCAGTACTCTTTTCTGCTATGGCAGGGGGTCGGACTAGATGATCTGCTCAGGTCCCTTCCGACCCTAGAAACTATGAAACTATGAGACCCTTTGACCTACCCAGGGCCCTGCAGATCACCAGTGGGTTTTAGGGTTTCAAGTACTGTCAAAAAATAGCCTCAGCGCCCCTTGCTGGTATTTTGTGTCATGAGTCATGTCCTTGCATGGTCTTGGAAAGGGCACTTGTGCCGTTCAAGGAAAGGAAGTGTGCAGGCTGGACTCATTAGGTAATGTTTTGGAACACATGTGTCTTTTGGCTCGTTCCAAAACAGAATAGATTACAAATGTAAAGCGGAAGCCTAATGTACTAAAAACGTGTTGGCCACCCACTGAAGTGTTTTCAGGCAACTCCCACAGGCGTTACAGACTCAGAAGCTGATGTTCTGGCACCAGAAGCTTTCCCATCACCCCAAACGCGTTGTGTTGTGACTCCAACTCCAGTACAACAGGAGCCACGTGCCATGACACCCCCTTTGGTAGCATTAAGGGATGCCCCATTGATAGAGCTGGACAAGCAGAAGTACAAAATAGCAGCTTTAAGAAACACAGAAGCACGCAGTGAGAATGCAGAAAATGCACAAAACGTATCAGGAGAGCACCAAGACGAACTGTGGGTTGTCACCCGACAGGATGCTCTCTCAAAGCAGGCAGACAATAGGCCTGGTCTCTTCACTGCTTGCTCGGTCCCATATTTCCATGAAGTCAGCAGTTCATAACTTTTTTTCCCCCTGTGAGGCACCTCCTCCCCTACTTTGCAGTATGGGAAGAAGTAGTAAATGTGCCCTTCTCCTTCCAACCGGACTTCTGTTCTCAGGCTCTGGGGCTCAAAACCACTGAATGGTATTATCCCCATTTTCCACCTGGAAAAGCAGATGGACAGGCTAAGATGGTAAGGGCCAGCCTAAGACAGAGGTAGGGTGGGAGCTGTACTTAAGAGGACTTCTTGGCTCCTGAAATCATGCTTACTCACCAGACTAGTCTGCCTGTGCAGGATTATCATCAGTATTCAGTTCAGATTGCCAATTATTGGCATTTATGCCCTTAGGGACTATATTAGCCAACTAGAGATACATTTACTGATTACTGGAGGGTTCTGCAAATTCAGTATCTGTCCCCCTGGCTTTTCTGTGGTCTTATTACCTACTGGAAAAGCAGCACAATACAGTTAGGGTATGGGAGTCTAAACCAACCCACTCTCTCTGCTGGTGGACCTCAAATGCTAAGAGACTCCTGCTTCATAAACTGCCATACAATATTTTTTGGCCCTGTCCACAAGAAAGGCACCTGAGAGAGGTACAGAAGACTAGTGACAAACATCCAATTAATTTACTAGGATCACATTTAGCAGCTGTCAAACATCTGGGGTCATTTCCGGGCCCTGCTGAAATCAGTGTCAAAATTCCCATCAAGTTCAATAAGATCAAGATTTCACCCAAAGTTTATTTTCTGTCTCCCAGGAGCAGACTTCAGTTTGATTTATCATATTCCTTTGGCTTGCTGGGTACCGCAAAGCTCAGAGAGCAGATTCCATTCTAAGACCCATTTAGCTAAAATAGGATTTATAGCATTTAAATTTATAGGATTTAAATGAGACCGTCAAAATCAGTTATTTGTTTAAGAAGAACAAGCACTGGACAATGCAAGTCAGTAACGACAATGCAGTTTAACTGAGGCCATGTGGCTTCACGCTGGAGTTTTGTACCCACAGATTATAGCCCCCTTTGTTTTTGAGACCCACCCCCAAAAAAACCTACTGGCGTACAAACTCACAACTCTGCATCTACTTAATGGATTTACAAGTAAGCAGCTCTTGCATAACCATAAAAACTGGGGCCTGCAATCCCAAGGCAAGAACAAAAAAAGGGGGCAGCCATTACTGAAGGGTGAAAAATCTGCTCCTGTAAAAGCAGAGGCTGGAACAGTCTGCAGGAGAGATGATGGAGACCTGGGGACGAGGAAAGAAGCAAAAAATCTGCATGCCTGAGTGAGTCCACAGAGTGTCCCATTAAACAGACCCCTGTTTTTCCACTGCTCCAAGTCTCACAGAAATGAGGAAGGGCTTGGATTCCTCTTTCCCTCTGTGGGCTGTCAGCACCGCTTGTTAATCGCTGGCGATGGCCTTGTTGGGCTACACCAGGGACTTCTCTTCCGCTCTCCACCCCCCAACTGGTGTCTCCCCGCACGGTTTTAGCTGTGATAATCCTTTCAGCAGGGTCGGGGTGGATTTTACAGAAGCAAAATGAAAGGAACCACATCAGAGCAAGGGGGGAAGGAAATAAAAAAAGATGACAGCAATGAACATGTCTTGCCCGGTCCCATCTGCAGTGAGCCTGGAAGCCACAGAAGGGCACAGTATCAGGGCACAGCCAACCTGGGACACCATCAGGGCTGCTGAAATTTTTGTTCTCGCCGATTCATGGCACCAGATCAAGCCGGCTGCCTAGGGCAGGGGGGGTCCTGAGGATGCTACCTAGAAAACAAGGTGAATTACCACCAGGTATCAGAAAAGCCATGGCCACAAAGCTTTCGCAAGGGCCTCGGTTGGCTCAATCCCTCTCATGCAACCTAATTAGGGCGAAAGAAATCGCTAAAGTTGCTTTTGAAAGACACTCAATGGTGAGGTCTTGAAGGCCCTGAATTGACAATTGGCTGCCTACATGAGGCCTAGAAGTACAGATGGAAGGCAGCTTGCTCAGGTGCCAGGCTGTCAGTTGGATTAAAATGACTCATTTATTTACCAAAGAACCTCACAAAGTGCTTTAGCTAACAGGGAGAGAGGGTCTAACGGCTCTCCAAGCTGGGGAAGGAGCTCTCGCGCCTTCCCGGCCTGCCAAAAGTCATTACTGCCGAGTGTGGAAAGCCATCAGCAGGGTAGAGACCCCCGTCGGCAGGGTGACAGATTGGGCTGCGTAATCAGAGGAGGAAGGAGAGAGCACAGAAGCTGTCAGAGGCGAAAGCTCTTGGCTGGGGCCGCTAGAAAACTGGCAAGATGAGTTAGCGTGACTGAGTAAACAGCAAACAGTCTCCAAATGATCTTTCCTCTCCCCCTGGAAGAGATGAACTTGTTTAAAAGGCACATCCCGAAGGAAGCTGTGCAGAACTTCAGCAAAGGAGAGAGAAATAAAATTGCAGGATACCTTCAGAGATGGACTACCTCTTCTTTTCAGGCTATACTACGTGGCAAAAGAAAAGAAGTAAAAATAAAAACTATTAACAGAAAGAGTGCATTCCATGGACTGCCACAGCAGGAAGAGAAGCAAAGGAGACAAGAGAGCCAGAGACAAAAAGGGGAGAGGATTTTTTTTTTATTTAGTGGTCTTTGTTGAGCAGCACAAGCCTGCACTGAGTGAGCAAGACCCTGGCACTTTGTGGGTACAAAGCACATAGGTGGCTTTACAGTAAAGAGCCAAGAATTCCTGCCTGTGAAATATCTGTGCTGTTACTGGGGCAATGACGACTGTCTGACAACCCGTGCCTTCTAGACAGAGTGCCGGAGCAGTAGGCTGGAAGTTATCACAATTCCCGCCTGCCCTGTGGTATCAGTGCAAAGGGGCACAT